CCCTCCCTCCCACGACTGCCCCAGGTCATGAACGGCCGTACGTGCAGAATCCACACCAGAGGGACCTCACCCACGTGAGGCTGTGAGCACATGACCTGGGGCAAGGTCCCACTTGCACGGATTACGAGAGTCTGACTGTTGATCTGTGCTATCTACGGTCAATATCGCACAATTCCTGTAAGCGGGATCTAGCCCCTGTTTAGAAACAGTTGCGTGCACCAGAGCAGGTTCGAGCCTCATTCTCGCACTGTGAGAATTTCAGTTTCGAGCGTTTTTGCGAAGGGTCAGATCCCACTACCCTCGATTATTCATTTTTCACCGTCGATTATGGAGATCAACGGTCAGCAATGAACAATAGGGGCTAGTGGGATCTGGCCCTAAGGCACACCAGTGGGATTCAGGAAAGCACGAGTTCAATTCGCCCACCTAATCTACCTACCTGGGCATACCTGGACCCCGGGGGCTAGGTCCCACTTACACGAATTAAGTGATATTGACCGTACATAGAAAATATCAACGGCCACAATCTTTTAATCCGTGCAAGTGGGACCTTGTCCCGGGATCGGCTGATGTTCGTAGAAGGAGGGGCCTGGAGGGGAAGTGCAGCAACCGGCCACACTACTCGGGCACTCGGTTGTCCAGCTGAATCCCTCTGAAGACCCCACCCACCCTTCCTCTTATCATCTTTGCCCTGGCGCACCCCCCCCTCCTCCCTGTGCTACCCTAGTGTTAACCACAGTAAGGTGCACCACGGGACTTCGGGAGCTAGTGATAACCACGGGACTTCGGGAGCTAGGTATGAACATGCTACTACAGGTCTTCATGAGGGTGCACAGTGAAACGTTTTTGATGGCAGAGAGTTGGGGATCCTCTGTTTCCTCGTATATCCCTGGAGCCCGTTCCAGCCCTGCGGTAAGGTGCAGTATCTTCTGACACCCCCGACATCCCATACTAAGGAACTGCTATGCCAGCCTCAACCCTATACTACCCACTAGGAGGATATCCAACCCTGAGTCATGTGTGTATTGCAGTGTTCTATTGTGTTGATGGTAGAGAGTTGGGAATCCTCTGTTCCACCGTATATCCCTGGAGCCTCTTCCGGCCCCGCGGTAAGGTGCAGTATCTCCTAACACCCCCGACATCCCGTACTAAGGAACTGCTATGCCAACCTCAAGCCCTAAGCTACATACTAGGAGGATAGCCTACCCTAAGTCGTGAATCATGGACTGCATCGTGGACTGTGTGTATTGACCCTGGAGAATCGTTGATAGTGACGGTAGAGAGTTGGGGATCCTCCGTTCCGTCGTATATCCCTGGAGCCAGTTCCGGCCCTGCGGTAAGGTGCAATATCTCCTACACCCTCGGCATCCCGTACTAAGGAATTGCTATGCCAGCCTCAAGCCCTAAGCTACGTACTAGGAGGATAGCCAACCCTAAGTCGTGAATCATGGATGGATTATGTGTATGGACCCTGGAGAATCATTGATACAGAGAGTTGGGGATCCTTTGTTCCCTCGTATATTCCTGGAACCCGTTTCGGCCCCGCAGTAAGGTGTAGTATCTCCTGACACCTCCGACATCCCATACTAAGGAACTGCTATGCCAGCCTCAACCCTTCAGTTATGCACTAGGAGGACAACCAACCCTAAGTCCTGGATCATGGACTATATCTATTGACCATGGAGAACCCTCTGTTGTATGATAAACTGTGAGAGCTAGACAATCCTCTGTTCTCTCGTATATCCTTTGAGCCCGTTCCATCCCCACGGTAAAATGTAGTATACACCCCCGACATCACGTTCTAAGGAACAACTATGCTAGCCTCAATCATTGACTACGTACTAGGAGGATGACCAACCCTAAGTCATAATCTCGTATCGAACACAGAACCTCATGTGAATCGTGCAAATGACCTAACCTGTTGACATATACTGTGAAGTAGTATGAAGCTGTGCTCTGCTGGGCTCGAGTAAACCAGACTGTACAAACCACCCAACAGTCACGTGACCACCCATAGACCAAGAACATCAGGATACCCTATCATCGCCCAGTCCCAACATACAACAACCGTGAGCTACCCCTTGGGTGGTGCGCAAGCAGTGTCTATAATAGCTAACATGCGTCATCCCAAGCGGGTGTATGTCCAGCCGTGTGTTAATCTAACGCCCTGCAGGTGTCCATGCGCAAGGCTGCAATTGAGTTTTTGAACCCGCAACCTCATACCACAATGCGCATTTCCAACTAGTGCTCTAACCACTGAGCTACATAAAACCGGGACTCGCATCACGCTTTCGGCGAGCCTGAGGAAAATCGTTGTCGTAGCAAACACCCTTACAAGGGTATTTGTCGTCCTTTTTAAAGATCGCACTGGGTGTGTCCTTGATCAACATAATGCGTTGGTAGGGCAAACCCCGTCAGGGCGCTCACCTCGGCAACCTTGCTCTTGGCGAGACTCCGAGTCGAATACGGCCAGATTAGAAAGTGTGTGCGACACTCATTATTGCGTTGCACGGTGAGATAGTCGTTAGTCATCGGCCATACTAGATTGGCGAAATGGCACCAAAGTCGTAGGGCGCGGTCACTCTCCCTTCTGTAATTTTTATTGTTGGTTATATTTTTCTTTTATTTTATAAATACTAGATTTACTTCGCAACTAGTTCGACCTCTGGTGGAACACGGCGCGAAAAAGATAAAAACTTTTACCTTGTGCACAGGCGGGAAGTTTATGTTGGACGACGCGTCGAAAAGCGCGGCGTTGGCAAACCTAGTATGGGGGAAAGTCGAAAGTTTGACAAAATGTGTCGAGCGCCCGACGATCAGGATACCAGGCAACTACAATCCTAGGCGCGGGCGGTGTCTCGCCATCTTTTGATGGCCAGGTGGTTGGCCGGTAGGCCAACTTGAAGGTGGAGGTCTGGTTTGTGCGGGTAGGACCAATCACGGTCCCACGACTATTCATACGCAGGTTCACGCTTACCTAGCATAGCCTTCGGCCTAGTTCTAATGGTTACAGTACTGGACTTTTAGACGCGGTTCGAGGTCAACAAGTGGCGATAGAGCAAAAGAGGCACAACCGGCGGAGGCTGAGGGGTCGAGGGTCTTATGAGACTATCCCCCATGGTTTTGCTAAACGGGTCTCTGGCGTGGATCCAACTGGCAAGAAGAAAGGAGTGTCAACGGATCCTCGTCCTCGTCAGTCCCACTAATTTTGTTTTTGACTCATTTTTTACCTCTATTTATTTCTTCATTCATAAAGTTTCATCTTTCATCGCGCCAGAAAGTTGGCTCCGATACCAACAACAAAGAAGTGGATGGAGAGAAGTCGTGTATCCACTCAACGGGAATGGAAGGCGACAGTATCGCTGCCCTCCTTAACTGTACATAGGGTGCATGCCAGCAGGGGTTGTCGTGATCAACATTATAGTAGGGAGCATTTAAAAAAGACTCCCCACGAGTGGCCGTCACGACAGCCGATGACCTTGAGCGCGAGCCTCTTTGGGCGGGGCTGTTCAGGTCCCCGCGTGTGCGGAGTGCTGGCGAAATTCCTCTAACCTACTCATCTTGGAACACAGACCGAGGGGGCTAACGTACATGTGTGTCGGTGGGGTTATAGCCCATGAGGCTGAAGAGATCTAGTAAGGACCACCTACATATGCACCGTCCTCCTGCCACGACCTACCGTCGAAAGGTTTGAGTGTGAGCATGCCCATTGGCACCCAAAAGGTGGTGAGCTATGCCCAGGTAGAGCGCAGCCGGGCGGTACCTTGGCAAGGACTCACAACGAAACTACCATATGGGCCGAGCTCACACTGAGACCTTTCCGGAAGTATCTGACTGCAACTTCATCTGGAGCATAGTCCTGAAGGTCCTAGTGTGAGTATGCTCTGTGTGATGTATAGAACCACAGGGCAGCTGGTTCACTCCTAAGTCATGCGCGAGCAGGCTGCCGAGCAACTCATCCGTCGGACTTCGGAGTGGAGGCGAAACGTTACTGGACCACACAACAGCTAGTCCCTTTCGAAACAGCCCACAGTAGGCCGAGATACGGATCTTCCATCTGCTATCGGACGCAACGGCCCCCGCTTCGCATCGCAGCGCATAAAGGGGGACCTCCCGGCCACATCACGCAGGAGTTTGATATCTTTCTTTTTAGAGTCGGAATGGTTTCCCCAAAATTCATCGAGGTGAACAACTAGATTTTGCCGCTCTAGTCGGGTGCGCCAGTCGTACTTTTCACGTTCCCCTACGACAGGTCAGGGTCCCGCGAGGCACAACTCGACTTCCCTGAGGAGGTGTCACCATCCTCAGAGGCGTATCCCTACCGAGCTACTGATCTACATACGAAAGTTTTTACATGCAATCGCAGAGGTAAACCAGCCAGGAACGTTTTGCTCGTTTCGCCGTATTACAGACAATTCTTATAGGTGAATATAGAACAATCCCGTCGAGGTCACTCCTAGTCTTTTATAAAGACGCTTTCCGGAAGATAGTATCATCGCAACAGAAAACACACACGTGGGTTACATGAGACATTTAGACGTTACAATTAAACACGTGAATGTAAACAACCACGACACAAATAGATGTTACTAACAACCATGCGAGAGTGGTAACCAGGTCACACATAGATGTCGCATTAAGACACATGAGCGTTACAACCGAGCATTTTTGAAGTCGTTACCAAAAACACATACATGACGGCCAAATCACATAGAGGGTGCAAACGAAGACATACAAATGCATCATGCAGATAACGAATCATCCCAAAGGCGGAAACAACAATCTTTAGCAGGTATGATGACAGAGAACACGCCTTTGTTTTCACTATCTCATAAAGTTGAAAAGAAAGTTTTCAAGAGCGTTCCACAATTGATGTACGTGAAAACTGACAAGCGGATCGCCTCCTCGATACCATCGACAGCCACAACTTGCAGAGACAGGAACTTACTAAATCAAATATGCAAAGGCAACTCCACATCGTAGCGATATGCCCAAGACACTCTCTTTTATTTTTCCTGTGACTCCCTGTTATCCAACCCACTTGCATCCCTCCTAGTACAAGGGCTATCGCCTAACTGCGAGCGACCACCAATCTTAAATATATACAGATGAAAAGAACAATTTTTATGTGCCGCCTTCACCCCTCATCATGACACCAGCGAAATTCATCGTGGAAACATGATAATCATAGGGGTGGGCAAACCATGTTTTCTTGGTCGGCACTACTGAGTTTTATCATGTCTTAGCCCTCTCGAGGGCGAAGCCTGATGATCCGATCATAGGAGCCAAACTCGCTACCCTCCGTTGGACGGTCCACTGTCTAGAGGGACCTATAGAAGGTGGGCGACTCCTGGCGGCCGTAAAGCGTGTGAGTCGCCCGAGCACGTCTGTCTAGCCGGGTATGCTGCCGAATGAACGCCTCGTTAATCGTCATCCTCCGCACTCATCCTTGCCATCGTAGTCGTAGG